AAAAAAACCAAAAAAAAAAAAAAAAAAAAAAAAAAAAAAAAAAAAAAAAAAAAAAAAAAAAAAAGGAGCAAAATCCCATCTGAAAGGTGCTACTCAGTTTCGGAAGCTCAGTCCGAATAAACCGGAACCGTGACCTCCTGCGGTTGGTGTTCCCTTACAGGAATTTTGAATTTGCACAAAAATAAATTCTTGCCGCTTCGGCTGAAACTGAAGAGCACGCTTTAACAGTGAATTAGCAACGGAAATGTACGGGTTTCCAACCGACTGTCGGCTGTTTTCAGTCTGCCATACCTCCAGCTAACTGTTTTTCCATTTCTTCTCTGACTACGGGCGACGTCAAGTGGATGGTCAGCGTCAACGGCGGCTCTTTTGTGTTCTTAATTACAATTGCAGCATCGCCGACCGACTGGATTATTTCATATTTGTCTTCGGTAATAGCCTGCAATGCAATTTCACCGCTTAGCCATCGCCTAATTCATTTCCGAGTGATTTGCAACATCCTTTTCCAACAAAAAACAAGGTCTATAAACAAAACTTCAGCTAATGAAGAGAAGTTCATTTAGCACAGCAATTCCAGAATAACGCTACGCGCCTACGAAAATTACTTTTCCAAGACAGAGAAAGGGTATAAAAAAACCCGCCATCGGGGTCGTCTTAACCGTTTCAAAATCTGTTCCGCTCGTTCTGCAACGAGCGCACACAAACGCTGAAAGGTTTTACTCACAGCAAGCTGTACTCCGAGATTGTCAGCTACTTTCTCCAGGAGATCTGTGGTGGGTTTATCTTTGCACAGAAGAACTAGCTCAAGATCCAAGTCCCCCTTGAGTAACAGGCCTTTTGCTACGAGCCCCACACGCATCACTCCACGCAGGGTCCTAGTCAGCTGCTCCGTGGCCTTCTGATCCCTGCAAATACACAGGGCACAGTCACGGCGGCTTCCAAATTAACGAATTAACTGCAGGCAGGCAAGCACGAAGGCTCGCCCCGAGCTAAGGGATAGATCTGCAAAGATTAAACACGACCCTCGCTGAAGGATTTACCCCACCTGCACGGGAGAAGTCGCTTCAACCGCGGGTTAGCTCATTCCTCTTAATTCCGCAGCCAGGGAAAACAACTTTTCCACCTTCAGCGCGCGGATTTTTACTCGTCTAAGCAAGATGGTGCCACAACTTCCGACAGCGCCCTTTACAGGCACGTCTCGGGTGATGTTCCTTACCCTCCTTCCTTGTTTTCCTCTTCGGCTGCCGTCTCCATGGACTCTGTCTCTGGCTGCTCCCCGCTGACTTTTTCTTGCTCGTCGATCCAGTCGGACACAGCTTTGAGCGCCCGCTCCGTGTGGGACACCATATTCTGAACTGCCTCCAGCTCCTCCTGCGTCGGGTAAACGGCCGAATGTTTGGCCATCACGTGGCGGTCGTCGTTCACAAAAATACGCATTGGTCGCTGAAAAGGGATTTTGAAACAGTTTTAGCGAGAGCTGAAACGCAGATATTTATCTCGCGAGTGCAAAACCTCCCGGTCCTTACCATTTTTGCTTTTGAATGTCTGTCCAAGCGTTGAAAAACGTGCTTATTTAGCTTCTTCCACCAAAAAGACCGTACCAGTACCACACTTTGCTGTAATCTGAAAGCAACAGAAAACCAGTTAGCAACGCTGGCGGGCCGGTCCGTCCCCGCAGCCTGCTCGCTGAGTGTACGTAGGAACAGAAAGAGCTGGCATCGATAATCGGAAGCAATAACGGACATTAGCAGCATGCGGATTCGTTAGCGAAAGCCCAGTTTTCCGCTCCTGATGACTTACATTCTTAAGACCCGAACAGCGCCCGCGATAGCCATTACAGCCAGGTTTGTCACGCAGCCGTCGCCCCAACTCGCACAGCCGGCCCTCGAGGAAGGTTTGCATTCGCTGCTCAGCTTTACCTGCCCAGAGGTTTAACGAGCACCGTACGCTCATTCACCATCCCCGGCCGAGCACGCTGCGCAAGGCAAACGCTCTGAACCCTTCCCTCGTACGATCTCCCCGAAAAGCAAAGACGCCCCAGAAGCCCGAGCTGCACCCCACTGCTTGATTTTCCCTCCTACTTCTCGCTTGCGGCCATACGTATCTTATTTTGGCTCCTTATTCCCAAGAGGCTTTCCCATTAAAACTGGATTTTTCCAAAGCTCCTGCTGGCGTTTCTAAAACAAAGCGCACCGAAGGTAAAGCACGCCCCGATACGCGCCGGAGCAGCCTGCACTGGGAAAATTAACAGCGTAAAAGCTAACAGAATTCCATGAGCTAAAGAACCAGGTTGCCATCGCCTGGTTGCCAAGCGAGGCGACAGCTTTCATCCACGCTGCTCAGAAGCAACTATCTGTACAAATCTCTTCGCCTTATACTCCGCTTTTTACCCCTAATTCATTTTCCGGCCTGCTTTACAAGCCTGCTTTTAATTCGGATCAACACGAGACAAGTTCAGTAGCTGCACCGAGTCTCTTCCCTTACTTTATCAGGAGGAAAGAGCATAAACTTACGCCAGCTTTTGAAGCAAGCGCTCGCGACTTCTAAAATTCAACAGATTAAGCTGAAATCACAGCAGCTTGTTTCCGAACAAGGAGCCATTTTCCAAGGGAACCAACCCACCCCGACAGCCCGAGCCCCAGCCGGGGTAGCGAACTTCTTTTGTTAAAATTCAAGCGCTTTGTTCCTCTGTTTTAGCCAAGGGGCCTTCGAGCAGAGAAACGTTTGTGTCCTGCAGGACCGACGGGTGCTCTGCGGGAGAAGACGGCTTCCCAAGACCTTCAGATGCGGGCAGGCTTCCGGCAAAAACTCCCAAAGCCATCTCGCACCCACTGGGATCGACTCTTCGGCATCGACAACGCCGTTTCCCACGTGACTAGCGTACAAATCAGCAGTTGCTTGATTCACGGTCATTAATTTGACCAAACATCTTTCATAAAACTCTTGATTTACCTCTAAGTGAAGCCGCGCAGGGGCAATCCCAGCCCTGCAAACACCCAATGTTTCGTGGCAGCTCCAAGAGTTGTTAAAGGCCATTTAAAGGCATTAGCACAAGCGAGGCAAAGGAAGAGCCTCGGCGCCTGAAGATGATGGAGATGAAGGTCGTCGTCATCTGCATCCACCAGCTGTTTCGCTTCATTTTACAATCAAGCGCACATCAAAACTGCCTGGTAACTCAGGCTTCCAAAAACGCTGCTGGAGAAGGTCAATCACGCCTCAGTTATTCCAGAGCTCGCAGCTAAATCCCACTTCTCTGGGAGCCCTTGCGTTTCGAATGCGCTTCACTCGAAATGAAACCAGGCTGAACCTCGCTTTTGCCTTTTTCCACTGGAACCTACCCCGCGTGGGCCCCTTCCCAGCCTCGCCGGTAATCGCTACGTACACCTCGCAAACCCCGTGTTTTACTTTTTACACTTTACAGGTGACACAAACCGATCTTAAGTATCAATTGTCCAAGATACTGGAATAATAATAAAAAAGAACAAATAATTAACTGCCCAAATACTTAGTGCTTACTAGAGCAATGCTTTTATAACTCTATGAAATAACACAAAGGGCCCGGGCAGAAATCAGGACCCCGCTGCGCTGCTCGTTTTACAAACAGGGCTGGGGCTCACGACCTGGAGAATTTTCTAGGATAAAATCACGAAAACTTGTTTCCTCGAGCCGCCGTTGCCGTGCGGACTCGGTATTCTACGGCACTGGAACACCTCCGATTCCAGTCCTGTGGATATTTACGCACAGGACGACTTTGGTATCGTGACAAATCCGGATTTAATTGTAATTAAACCCAGATGTTAGTGCCCGCTGAGCAGGGAGAATTATTCCCAAGCTACCTGCAAGAACCCACGAGGCACCTCCACGGGTGCCAGCCTCCCAAAACACTCCTCCTTCGGGTCGGACCCCGAAGAACTCGTACACTCCGTGCCCAGTTATTTTTCTTAAAGCTCCTTCCATTTCCTCCAAGCCAAGTAACAAATTAGTTGAAATCCAACCTAGCAAAGCATGTTTCTACAGTCAGAAAATGCTACAACAGCCCGAGAAACGAGAGTCCCGTTCCCTGCGATTTCTAAAGACGGCCGTTCTCGCTCTTCTCGAAATCACTGGAGTTCATTTCTAGTGAGAACCCAGGAGCCGATGCTGCAGCATCGCAGGATTCACGCCTCTTGGGGAGAAAAGAACCACAGAACAAGTTAAAAACACGAACGCGCTCAATAACGCACAATTCCTGACACCGCTCTTGATGCTGGTCGCCATTAAAGTTTGAGAAAAAAAGAGAAACTCTGAAATTCCACCCCTGTTTTAAGCCTCGCCTGCTCCGCTCTCCCCCTCCTACGATTTCCACTACCAGCTTGATTTCACCAACAAACTTTCCACTCGATCCGAGTCTCCCGACGGAAGGAGCAGGCTCTCCGAAACATTTGCTGGGGGGCGGCTGAGAAAATGGTAAACAACGCAAAAGGCTGAAACTTCTGCCCTAGATGAGGGGAAAGTTTGCCACGCGCGAAGAAGCGCATTTCGGTTTAGAAAGCTTTTATGTTTTAAGTAAGAATTTGTGGTTTTTCAGCTGTGCTTTTAGCCTGTCGTACCCGGCTGGGATGCTCGGAGGGGCGCAAAGCCTTAACACCTCGCTTCGGTTTGCGCAAAGCTCTTGCGGGTCTCAGGACAGCGCCAGCGCCTATTCCCCAGCGCAACGCTACCTGCCTGCCCGAGGTGACGGCAAACAAAGCGGCGGCGGCCGCACGGAGGGAGGATTTGGGGTTTTTTTTGGTTTTTTTTTTTTTCCTCTTTTTCTGAACCGTCCAGAAACCGAGCTGCTACAAATAACAGGATCGATGAGGAGAAGGGGAATTTCGAGGAAGCGATGGGAGAGCCTGGGTAAAGCCCTGGGGGTGAGGACAGGAGAGCGGGGTCCTGTCCCTAAGGGGAGGAGATGGGTGGTTAAATCGCACCGAAGGGGATGTTTCCACCTCAGCCGCGTCCCCCCCGCGCCCTGCGGGCCCCGGGGAGCCGGGAAGGGGCCCGGACC